GGAAGGCATTTCCTGTGAGAAAAAGAGAGTGAGATGTGGAGCTTGGGAGAAGGCTGGGTGGCCAGGGGAGGAGCTAGTTGGGATCACAGGAGACACATTACATTTGTCAGGCAAAATGGAGCAGACTCAGTCTGTGAGATGCACGAAGACAGGTGAGCACGGCATGGAGGTGCGGGAGGCACACGTCCTTCGCCGTGGCTCCTGGTGTGGAGCATCATTCACATGATTACATCGGAAGGCTCCCTCAGAGCAACCTGAGGGCGCCCCCCCCCTCCGCCCCCGGCACTTTCTAGCCCACTTGTGGGGGTGGGGGTGTCTGAGAGGAGATAGATTCACTGCGGGGAGTTTCAACTACCAGTTCTCAACCTTGTGTCCATTGGGATCATCCAGGGAGTTTTTTTAAAATAGTTAGTGTTAAAAGTATTACATATGTCCCCCTTTTTTTTTCCTCATTGACCCCTTCCAGCCCACCCCCCACCCCAGGCTTTCCCAGAATGTTTTTTAACACACCAATGCCTGACTCCTACCCCCATAGATTCTGATGTGATTGGCCTGGGCTGTCCCCTGGCCATTGAGTTTTTTATTTTAAGTTCCTCGGGTGATATTAATGTGCAGCCAAGTTTGATTATCATTGACTTGGCATGTCTCTGTTTAAGGATCTTTGACTCTCAGGGAAATCAAGGTGGCATGGACAAGATCAGAGGGGCCCATCTTTGCTACAAGAATAATTTCAATTGCCTTGGTCAAGTGGATTTATCCTGAATGTAGTTTTCGTCTGATGGATATGTTTGACACTAAAAACCTGCTGAGGGCCGAAACCGGTTTGGCTCAGTGGATAGAGCGTCGGTCTGCGTACTGAAAGGTCCCGGGTTCGATTCCGGTCAAGGGCATGTATTGTACATTGGTTGCGGGCACATCCCCAGTAGGGGGTGTGCGAGAGGCAGCTGGTCAATGTTTCTCTCTCATTGACATTTCTAGCTCTCTATCCCTCTCTCCTTCTCTCTGTAAAAAATCAATAAAATGTATTTTTAAAAAATAATAAATAAATAAAAAATAAAATAAATAAAATAAAAACCTGCTGAGGTTTCTTGTTAAAATTGAGAAAAGACATTAAGGGAAGCAGCCCACTGTTTTACTCCATTTCAGGGCTCCCTGGATTTTTGTTGATTTTGAGAACTAGCCATATCCTTTAGTAAATATAAGGAGGGGATGGTTTTTTTACTGTCCTGGCCAGGCCATTGGTCCATTCTCTGGGGCTTTCCACGTATCCTCTGAATAACCAAATATAAACATCACTCTTGCTTGGTTTCCCTCCCTCACCTTCCCTCAGAGACCAAAAAGGCAATGGCGCCCTTCTCTTCCAGAAAATAACACCCAGGCCTCTAGGATTCTTCCTCCTTTCCCCCTCTCGCCCAGCCCCCGCCTCTCCAGAAGGAAGTTAGCAGCTGCCAGGTGGGAGTGGGGCCACCTGAAGACAAACTCCTCCCGTTCTGTGTCCCTGCTCCAGAGCTGGGTTGTCTGGGCTCCCTGAGGAGGAAAAGACAGTCTCATTAAAAGGAAGGAGTGGCCCCAGCTGAAAGTAAGCGGATCCCCACGTCCAGAACGATGAAAGGCTGGGCTGGGGACCTAACGCTCCTCCATCACTGATCCCATCCAGACTCCCAGCACATGGTGAAGAGTAATAACCACACCCCGAGCACACCCTCCCCACGTGGCTGCTGCACAGGCACGTCAGACCTACTTGTCCAACCCAAACTCCTTGCCTTCCCTCTGTTCCACCACCCACCAAATCTGTCCCCCGACAGCCTTCAGCTCAGAAAGGCAGCAGTGCCCTTCTGCCAGTTGCCAGAGCAGCAATGTCATTGCCATCCTGGACTCCTCTTTCTCCCTTACACAATATAGGATCCTTCAGCAAAGCTCGACAATTTGATGTTTCTCACCGCACCCCTCGAATTGAGCCTCTGTCCTCCCTTGCCTGAAATTTGCTGTTCCCCCTCCGTGTCTCCCTGGGTCCACCCTTCTCCTCTGAAACCTATTCTCAGCACAGCAGCCAAGTGACTCTTTGAAAACAAACATTAGATCAAGTCACTCCTTGGCACTAAACCAAACATGTCAAACTCGTGGACCACAATGAATATTTTTTGTGAATCAGCCAATATAACGGTATATAAGAAACGTTTTAATAAATATTTTATAATTTAATTTTTACAATATCCTGTTGTACGTAATTATTAATGAACTACAACATTCACTAACGACTGATGACTATCATCGTGTTGCGTTCATTTCCCTTACCTGCCTTACGCGCAGGCTCACCATTTTTCTCCACTAATACTGGCAGTGAATATTTTAGCAGCCCATTGCCCTGTCATTAGTCTTGTACCGACTTGTTTGGTGTGTGCAACAGGAAATATTTTGCTTTCAGACGAGATCGGGCGCGTTCAGGGTGGTATGGCCGTAGACTATTTTGCTTTTAGAGATCAAGAAAAATAGGTTTGTGTTACACTTATTAATTTGTGCAGTTATTCAGTCTCTGATAAGTTAATGTTCAATAAAAAATATTGCCGAGACCGGTTTGGCTCAATGGATAGAGCGTCGGCTTGGGGACTGAAGGGTCCCGGGTTCGATTCCGGTCAAGGGCATGTACTTGGTTGCGGGCATATCCCCAGTAGGGGGTGTGCAAGAGGCAGCTGATCGATGACTCTCTCATCGATGTTTCTAACTCTCTATCTCTCTCCCTTCCTCTCTGTACAAAATCAATAAAATATATATTAAAAAATATATTAATTGTTAACATAATAGAACATAATGTTCTATTACGTTAACAATTACTCAATTATTTCAGCCCTTTGCATTCAGCATGACTCTAAAATAAAACCATATTTCTGTGAGAAGTGAAGCTTTTGGGTTTTTCTTTGCAGCCCATACAAACTTAAACCTTGTTTCTTTGGCCTGTGTTAGCCTTTGAGTTTGACATGCTTGCTCTAAACCCTCCAACAGCTCCTCTTACTCAGAGTAGAAGCCAGTGGCCTTGGCCTGGGATTATCTACTCTCTCCCTCACCTCACTTCCCACCACTGCCCTCCCCACTCACCAGCTTCACCCACCACTGCCCTCCCCACTCACCGGCTTCACCCACCACTGCCCTCCCCACTCACTGGCTTCACCCACCACTGCCCTCCCCACTCACCGGCTTTACCCACCACTGCCCTCCCCACTCACCTGCTCCACCCACCACTGCCCTCCCCACTCACCGGCTTCACCCACCACTGCCCTCCCCACTCACCTGCTCCACCCACCACTGCCCTCCCCACTCACCTGCTCCACCCACCACTGCCCTCCCCACTCACCTGCTCCACCCACCACTGCCCTCCCCACTCACCTGCTTCACCCACCACTGCAGCTCCTTGGAAACACAGGTGTCTTCACGCTTGCTGTGCACCTGCTGGAACTCTTCCTTGTCCTCCCCCCCCCCCCACCCCAACCTCCCGCATCCTCCTCAGCAGCAAGCCCATCCCTGATCTCCCTGTTTATAAAAATGCAACCTCTCCCAGCAGCACTCCCTGTCCCCTTCTCCTGGCTCCATTTTCCCCATCTAACGTGTTTTTCACATGTTTGCCACCCTATCCTAAAATGAGCTCCATGAGGGTAGGGCCTGTTGCTGCATTTCCGGTGTCCAGATGGGGACAAGCCCTGAGCAAGAACTCCAGGGTTGGTTAAACGCGTGAAGACAGTCAGGCTCTGAGGTAGGAGGTCACCAGGTGCAGATGGCTGCACGGGTGCCTAGGGAAGGTGGGTCCTGAGCCACTAGCAGGGGCCTCCCCAGAGCGTGCCCAAGGACTTCATAAGCCTAGAGAACCTTCAGCAGGTGGACTGAGACTGGGGCCCACCGTGTCCCCAGCACCACACAGGCCCTGGGCTCCTGGTGTGAGAGAACGCGGCAGCCTGGAAAGTAACTAATGCTGGGTTCTTAGCCAACCTTGGAAACTCATGGCTTCGAGTCAAATTGTGTAGGATTTAGAAAAGGAAATAAACACCTGGAGTTCCTGGGGACCAGAAAGGCCAGAATCCCCGTCCCAAAGGCAAACAGCATGGAGGTCCAAGCATTAGCCTGGGGGGCTGGCCGATGGCTCACAGGACTTCAGGCCCAGGGCTCCTCCGCCACCACCAGGGCCCACAGTCTCGCCAGGAAAGCCAGGTCCTGGGCTGGGAGCACATGGGCCTCCCAGAGCAGGTGCTGCTGTGGTGTGCCTGAAGGTGAGCAGGAGTTCGGCAGCCCGAGGGCAGGCGGGAGGGCGGGGCAGGACACCGGGCAGAGGAAGCAGCACTTGCGATGGCCAGCAGAGCACCTGGAACAAAGAAGGGACGTGCACCAGCGTGTCTGTGAGGGCACCCCGAGCCTGGGGGTTCTATGGGCCAGCCCGGGGAACCCCGTGCACAAGGCTGAACTCTGACAAGGCCATGGGACGGCATCTAGTGGAGAACGCCTGCCCAGCGGTAGAGGACAGAGTGGAGCAGGGGAGGCGGCCAGGCTGGCGGTCCGAATAAAGGTGGGAGGGGCAGGCCTGGCTCCGGATGAGCTTGCTCCGAGTGATGGGCTTATGAACAGACCTGGGGCAGGTGTAGTAAAGGGCCAGGTTTAAATTTGCTTATGCAAAGCCCACATGAGGAAGCCTTGTAGGTACATGTGAGCTGGGAACTGGGACCTGAATCAGGGTGTGGCCATCGGAACCCTCAGCCCGGGTGAGAAGAGCCAGGAGAGTTCCTTGGGGCAGAGAGCCACCAGCCAAGGGCCCGGCTGGAGAAGAGACGCTCAGGAAGGTGGCTGCGGAGGAGCACCACGGAGCAGGAGGAAAGCCGGGGAGCAGGCGGCCAAGGCCCAGGGCAGAGCGCGCCTCTAAAGACTGGCAGCAAACTGGGAAGGGACGCTGGTTCCACACACCCCCCACCACCACCATCTCCCGCCAAGTCAGCACCCCCCTTAGGAAGCACAAAGGAGCCAGAGTTTAATCGATGTTTATTTGTGTAACTGGAACATTCAGGTGTATAAATAAGGTACTTTCCAATGTACAGTCCATTGTGTTCTGACACTGCGGTGGGGAAGAGACTACATGCCTGGTCCAACACTGACCAGAGGGTGCAGAGACGGCTGTGTCACAAGCAGGCAGATCTACGGAAATGCAGCAGCTAGAAAATGCTCTCAACTCCCTTTCTGATCTGGTGTTCCTTGGCACGGAGCCAGCACACCCAGGACAGGAGCCTAACGGAGGTGAGACGTTAGCGTTCCCGCAGTCCAGGTCAGAGGCAGCGATGCGGGTGGTAGCGGCCAACACCATTTCACATGGGACAGAATCAGCAGAATGCTCAGCCCAGCGGGCCCTCGGAGCTCTATGTCCAGGGAAGGCTGCGAAGGGCTCGGCCCTCCCCAGTGCGGAGGCCCTGCAGGGGCCCAGTCAGGGGCCTTGGTCCCGCTGGGAGCCTTTTCTCTACAGATGAAAACCGCCTGGTCTGTAACCATGAGGGAGCAAGCGCCAGCCCAGAAGGATGAAAGGGCAAGCAAGCCCCTGGCCAGTCCCTCCTAGCAGCTGCTACCTGAACACCACAACACCCTCTCCTGATTCCTGCATAACCACGGCCTCGTGAACTAACTGAAGGGGGAGGCCATGAACACAGTGGATCTGTCTTCATTCCCCACTGACACCCAGTCCAGCCGGTAGTTCCAAGTTATTACTATTCCAGCGGCTTAAGAATTTCACAGGTCCCCTTTGTCAACACCATTCCTTCAAAGTGAGGAATCCTCCACCACACACACACACACACCACACACACACACACTCCCCATCTCCTTCCAGAATATGAAATTCTTTCTCACAGTCGACTGCCTGTTCTCCCTTCATTCCTGAATCACCCACGTGATCCTTTGCTAACCTACAATCCAACAGGAGCACCCACATCATCTACCCTCAGTGGTCACCTGCTTCTCTCCTGTTAATTTTTAGGAAAGTATGAGGCAAAGGCCCCGACTTGTTAACGTTGTCAGGGTGCGGGCAGAGCTTTGAGGCGTCCTGTCTGTATTCTAACCTGCCACAGAGGTGGCTTCTCTTTCTCCGCGCTCTGGTTGGAGAGGGCACTGCTGCAGGCTCCTGGCGGTGTGTGCAGACAAGGCCCTTGGCCAGAGGGGGAACTGGGGTCCTGAGCGAATCACAGAGAGACCCTCACCGCCCATGGAGCTGGGGCACCACCGGCAAGAGGAAAGTCCAGGCCGGGGGCAGCAGGAAGTGGGCCAGACCTCAGGCACACTGTTCCCGCCGAGTATGAATTGCAGAGCACCCTCACATCCTCATTCTTTCGTCACGCTGGCCTTCTAATGAAGCACCGCACCGGGCTCTGTGGTGGGTGTTAAAACCGGGCTGTGCGGCCGCTTTCCCGCGAGCAGGGCAGGTGGCAGTGTAGTGGCCGAGAACGCAGCCTCTGGCGTTACAGCACTTTGGGTTCAAATGACCAGCTGAGTGCAACCAAGATAACTACCATCGACCGAGCACTTACTCTGTGCCAGGCTCCGTGCTAAATGCTTATGTGTATTAGCTCGTAAATCCTCACACTAATCCCAAAGGGAGGCGCTGTTCTCAGACCCAACCCCCCAGACCCAGTTTGACCCCAACATCTGTTTTCCTAACCGCTGCTGCGCTCAGCCTGCCCCGTGGCCTCCGTGATGGTGGTTCCAGCTGCTCCCTCAGAGCCCCTGCTGCGGGCAGCAGTGACAGTCTGCCAGGGCCACGACGGTCACCTGGACAGCCTGACTTTGGATGAACAGGAACTCTGGGTACAAGTGACCTCATCCCTTCTCTCACCACATAATCACAAGGTGGACACAGATGTATGTTACCAAAAAAAACCCCAAAAAGCAGTGTGACACAGGAAGAAGTTCTAGCAATGACTATCACACTGGTAGCAAAAAATCACTCCCTTCCAACACTGACCTTGGGCAGGCCTCTCAGGGAGCCAGGCCACTGTGCAGTTTGCCGAGAGTGGTGCTCTCCGCCCTGAGTCATTCACATCCTCCCCACCACCCGTCCGCACCAGGGATGTTCCTGGGCCTGCCAGGACTCCGACAGCCTGAAGATCTGAACTCAAGGATCTACTTGGGAACTAGCTTAGACTCAAATCACAGGGTTTGCTTAAGCTCCCTTAAAACATACCTTTGGAATCTTCTTGCATAATATAAGTCACTTTACAGGATAGGGGGCCCGGTGGGAAAAGATAAATATCATTGACGTGATTTTAAAGTCCACTTCTGACAGAGACACTAGTTTCAAACATACATTATAGAATTGTACAACTCTAAATGTTTTAAATATAGTTACACTGTAGATACTAAAAGGTTCAGAATATAAAACTGCCCCCCCCTCAAAAAAAATCAAAAACATAAACAAGGCCCAGGCTGCCTTAAAAGGTTTTACTTGCAGGAGTAAAACGTGTGTACATCTGTGATGCTGAGGCGGCATGCGCACACAGAGGGAAAGACTTGGGTGTCCTGTGAGTAGTGACAAGAAGAACTCACCAGGTTCCTCAAAAAAAGTAAAAATGGAACTGCCATTTGACCCAGCGATCCCACTTCTGAGAACATATCCTAAGAATTCTGAAACACCAGTGAGAAAGAATATATGCACCCCTATGTTCATAGCAGCATTACTTACAATAGCTAAAATCTGGGAACAGCCCAAGTGCCCATCAGTAGATGAGTGGATTAAAAAAAAAAACCTGTGGTACATTCACACCGTGGAATACTTTGTAGCAGTAAAAGAAGAAGTAACCCTACTCTTTGTAACAGCATGGATAGAACTGGAGAGCATTATGCTAAGTTAAATAAGCTATATAGAAAGAGAAAGACAGGTATCACATGATCTCACTCATGTGGAATCTAATGAACAAAATAAACTGACGAACAAAATAGGATCAGAAACATGGAAGCATGGAATAGAATGACAGATCTCAGAGGGAAGGGGAAGTAGGGGGAAGGCAAGAGATTAATCAAAGAATTTACTAGTATATGCATATATGCATAACCCATGGACACAGACAATAGCGTGGGGAAGGGCAGGGGCAGGGTGGAGGGGAGAAATGGCAGGGGGGAGGCACATCTGTCATATTCTCAACAATTAAAAACTCACCAGGGAGGGTGCCAGGCTCAGCCCCCTGCAGAAGAACCCGGGCTGCTGTAGCACCCTGGTTCACCAGCTCCTTTATATCTCTGTTTATGAACTAACAGCAACTTAAGCTCCAGCCTGTCACAGGTCAGGTCAGGCCTCCTAAGCTTGAAGGAAGAAATGGTGCAAAATTTCAGATGCACGTATGCCACGTTCACAAAAGCAGGTGGGGCTGGGACGATCCAGTCCTTGTCCTGGCGGGCAAATGCTACGATGGAGACTGGAGTCCACCAGGGACCCTGGGAATCTCTCTCCCCTCTGGCCCTCAACTTCCTCACAGCAAGGTGCTCGTGGCCCTCATCAAGGTGCCTCAGAAGGTCGTTATGAAAATCTATAGGATTCAAACTGGAAAACAGAACAAAAATCTCTGAACCAGGCATGGCATTTGGCAAAGCGTTGATGAATACAAATCAAGTGGGGAACATAAAGCCATGCACGGGAGTAAGGAACTGAATTCGCGAGGAGGGAGGGCACAGTTTCAGTCGCATTTTATTTTTCACACACACACAAAATGGACCTGAAGTAAGTGTGCCATTAAGATCTGCACAGGTATGTGTTAAAATAGTCTCTTGAATCTCATCTTAATGATGAAACATCATGAATAAATGGAAGAAAGAAAAATGTTGTGCTACACAGACACTGCTTTCCAAACTGCCCCCCGTGGAGAACTCCAAAAACAAAACCCCAAGCTGACCCCCTGGCATCCTTGCTGGCAGCTCTGGTGAGCAACCACCTTCAGCTTCCCAGGACCCCCCGGAGCTCCGGAAACCCTATCAGCAACCACTTCCACAGAGAAACGTGCCAGGCACCCTGATCCCAAACGCAGCCCTGAGTGACTCGCCTGCTGCTGGGCTCCCCCCCCCCCCCCCCCGAGACACCTGCTCCCAAGGACCCAGCATGCCCACAGGGGACAGCACAAGACAATGAAGCGCCTTCCTGTCCCAGTTCAGGAGACCAAGCTCATTCTTCAATAAGAAAACCAGGTTGCCGAAACCGGTTTGGCTCAGTGGTAGAGCGTCGGTCTGCAGACTGAAAGGTCCCGGGTTCGATTCCGGTCAAGGGCATGTACCTTGGTTGCGGGGACATCCAAGAGGCAGCTGGTCGATGTTTCTCTCTCATCGACGTTTCTTGCTCTTTATCTCTCTCCTTTCCTCTCTGTGAAAAAATCAATAAAATATATTTAAAAAAAAGAAAAGAAAACCAGGTTCATTCCCAATCACCACCTTAATTCATTGCTGAGACACTGCCTCGTCTTAAGAATAAACATTGAGAAAAGACCAGCAAACACACTTTTGGGGGCCCACAGCTGCCTCTGCTGACATGACCTTGCTCAGCCAGGGTCATGGAAGACTGGAGTTAGAAGACCTCAGAAAACAGAGCGCAGAGAGGGCTGCACCCGAGCGCCCGGGGTCCACGGCCAGGACGAAAGCCCATGCAAGACAAAAACACAGGTTTTTAAGGGGGAAGTGGACCTGAAAAAGAGGAGCCATTGCTGAAATGGAAGTGAAGGTTCAGAAGAAAGGCTGCATGCGTGCAGAAGGTCGAGCGGTCTGCCCCAGGATCGGGGCTGCGTGTAAGCTCAGGGAGGCAGGAAGGCTGATTTAAACAGAAACGAAACAGACGAGCACCAAGCCAGGTGCGAAAGCAAGCTGTCATGCTCGTTTGGCAATGAGAACAACCGTGGCACAGAACAACTGGACACCCTGGGGCACCAAGTTCTCTGTCCTGTACCCGCTTCCCCAAGTCAATCTCATCCCTATCATTAAGAAGGGAAAACAAAGTAGATCACAGTTGTTGTTTTTTTAAAAAATAAGGTCCCCCAGTAAAATACAAGCTACATTTAACTGGTCACATTATATAAAAAGTGTGCATTTAATCTTCAGAATAGTCTAACCTCTAATTGGGTTGGGTTTTCCAGAGTTTTAAGTAGGACTTTGTGGTTTCAGTGAAGAAGACTTGGCAATTGAAATCACTATAAGAAATAAGTGATCTTTAAAACATACACAATACACATTGGCCTCAGGAGTTAAATATATACAATACAGCAGCTACGGTGGGTGGTCAGTCAGACAAAGGGGCACAAACGAGAAGCCCTCTGCCCCCTGCCTAAGGGCCAAGCCCCAGAGAGGATTCAGCAGCAGCCAGTTCACAGCACAAGCATGAATACCATCGTCCCTGAAAAGACAGTGAGCGGACTGCCCCCAAGGAGCCATGAGCCTAAACGTGGGGGAAGGGGCTCGGTTACAGTACAGGCTACTGTATACACTTGAAATATTACAGTGTGGTGTTTTCTACCAGACTATTATAAATAATGTTGCGTGCTCTCTCTCGAGAAAACTTCTCAGTCTGTGGTGAAATAAGGTGAACCCATATCTTAGAGCAGAGCTCAGGTTCCACAGGATTTCCCGTGGACAGAATGCTGATCTGAGAATAAGCCTTTGTCCCTCCAGCCCACCGCAGGCAGACCCCTGGGGCTCCAGGCAGGATTACAGAGCAGCTCGGGTGAAAGCTCTCCTGGCAAAGACATCCAAGCTGTGCACCTCCTCCTGCTGGGGAGAAGGGGTAGTACAGGCATGGAGGACGCCGACAGGGTCGGACACATGAACAGACACTCCCTGATGGAACCCAGTTCAACTGATGAGATCAGAAGTACCTGGGCAACGCTGTCTTCCATGTTTTTAAAACTTCTGCTTAAAAAACCCAAGTAGTTTCACCCTCATGACTTCTTTCCAACTCAAAGCTGTAGTTTACTCACAACCCAAATCATAAGCACATAGACTGTATATACAGATTTAAAAATAAAAATTTTAAAAAAACCCACAGATAAAAAACACTCTACAAAAAAAAAAAAAAAAAAAAAAAGACAGCGAGTGGAAGCCTTGTCATCATTTCAGTCACCCCAGCTGGGCTGGCCTTGGTGCCCACCCCCGCGCTCAGTCCTGCTCTCTCAGCCCTGCGTGGCCCCTACTAGTCCTCCGTGGTATCTGTCAGCATCCCCTTGTCGATCAGGTGAGACTTGAGTGTGCTGAAGATGTGGAGCTGCTGTTCTGGCCGCAAGTTCATGAACTGCTGAATCAGCTTGCTTGGGTTCGGGCCCCTGGAAGAGAATGTGATGAAATGCACTGAGGGGGCCCAGCAACTTCTAGGGCTGATTATCCAAGTGGCTGCTTCAACCTCTGGATTCTCTACTAAA